TCTTTGGAACGTGAAATAGTGCAGAGGACTACTCCAGATTATTCAAATGCAGTATACTCTCCTTCATATTTTTTTTCCCCTTTCCACTGTACTTTTCCTATATAGATACAGCCTGCAACTATTACTTAGCTGCCCAACTGAAATATAAAAAGACCAATGCTCCCTTTAATGCATCACTTTTACGATTTTTATTATCAACAAGAAGAACAAAGATAAATTTATATAAAATAATGAAAGATAGTAGTTCTACTGGGTTTTACTTTTCTCTCTGTACATTTTTCTTCTACATTATGCTTCCTTTTCTATCTTAGTATTGTATTTTCTGACTTAGGATGAACAGTATTTCAATCCTTTATGGTTTAACCTGAGACAGGTCTGACCCTGTTCTCTCATCGTGTGTTAAGGTAGTCCCAGTAAATATTACTTATGAACTGCTTTAAAGGGCGTACGCGCTGCCATTCAGATATGCTTGGCTGATTTGAGGTTAATAAGATTCATTGTACTCACAATGAGTACCTGGTTGTGGCCATAGCTAATTGTTAATTTTTTTCAGCCCTAACTGATACCAGCAGCAAATCAGCTCACAGCTTAGTGCTATTGGCAGCTCTGAGTAGGAGAGGAATGTTACCTGGACCCAAGTATGCATGTTATGACATATTTCCCTTGGTTTAGAAATTGGGACTCAGACACTGGATATTAGATTCTCTTTTCAAACAACAAAAGAAGGTATGGAACAATGCTGAAGAAATGTTTAAATGTCATAGTAAAAAGTCACAGTCAAATGCATTTCAACCTTGTTTCAATGAATGTTTGGAATTCTCACACAAAAGCTACAGTAAATTCCTATCAGGACATTTTTCTCTTGGCAAAGTTTTGAATTCTGAAAATAGTCTTGTATATTACTAGCAGTGCCCACACCCTCCAAAGCTATAGCACCGAAATAACAGCACTGTGATGTATTATTCCCTTATGGTAACAGACACCGTTGAAGCCGAACTGTAATTTGGCACACAACATTTCTATACTAATGTAATGTGACAGTGTTATTATATTTGCTATTTTCTATGTGATCATAGCCATATCCATCTTGTCCAACCTGACATTAATTTAGCTAGTATGGTTACCTTCTGTTCTGGACCACTGGATGAAAGCAGAAAGGATTATTGAATTGCTCACAGGTTTAGCAACAGCAAGTGGGTAGGCAGGCATGAATAGGTGATACGTAGAATTTATATAATGAACAGAAACTCTTAGCACAGACTTGGCACATAATAAATGCTCAAGAAATGGTTACATCAGCAAGAAAGCTCACACATAGCTACCACATAAAATTACATGTGCCTAACATTTCAGAAAAGGGAAGGATAATGTCTAGCTCAGAAAACGCAGGAAGTTTCTATGGAATGAAACAGTTTAAGAGATTAAAAGGGAAATTCTATTTCTTTAAGCAAAAATAGTGAAAGGAATGCATTCCAGGTGGAATGAGCACAATCCCCAGGTGGAGAAATTAGCATAAGCAATGGTGAGGAAACTGGAAAATACAGTGTTGTTCAGGAAGCCAGGAGTAAGTAACTGGTAGAAACACGCCATATGGACGAAGTGCTGTAGCAGGTAAGTAGGACAATGAAGGCTAGGATCAGACCATCCAGGCCCACGAACTCCAGGCTGATGAACATAGAGAGTCGTGTCGCCACGGAGGATTTACTAGAAACCACAAGCAAGGCTCTGGTGAACACTGATTAGCTTCTACTATTACCAGCTATACTGTACAAAGCACTGATTAGCTTCTACTATTACCTGCATACTGTACAAAGCACTGAGCATATAAGCCAAAAAGAGAGGGGAAAATGCTGCTCCTGGGAGAAGCAGAGATGGTCTTACAGGAAGAGGAGACCAAGTGTAAGTAACTCTAAGATAGAAAGTGATGGCTGATGTGATAGAATAAGCAAGGCTGCACAGGAAGTCAGAGGAGGAAAAACATTGCAGCTGGTTAAGAGTATCTATCAGGAGAGACGGGTGACGGTTAAACTAAGGCGGACAGGAGGAAATAATCAAGCTGGTAGAAAGAGGGGGGATTTGAAGAATGAATAATAAAAAATGGAAGGTAACAAAGAAATTACAGCAATAAGCCATAAAAATGATATGAAGAACCTAAAATTTGGTGTTGATACAGAAGAAAAACTGCCAAGTTGAGACCCCAAACCACGACACACACACACACACACACACACACACACATGCACTCATGCACATACAAACACACAGAGCAAGTATTTCTGTTGCTGAGTAGATTATTTAGATGACATTTTTCCAGGGAAGAAAGGGTCTCACAAACACATTTCTTTAAAAATAGCTTTTGGCATCATTTTGCATAAGTGCCTCTTTTTTGAAAGATTCCTCTCAATTCAATTAATTAGTATGATTTATCCAGATTACATTTACAAGCTATAAAGCATTCCCATCTTCCCATTGTTAATTATATCTCCAGGCTAATATAAATAACATTTTCTGGTTACTCTAACCCACTCTATGAAACGTATCAGAGAGACAACATTCGTAAGTTCTATTTTGGGGAGAGAGGTCTCGTCTGTAATGTGGTATATTCCTAGTTTTCTTTTTTGTTTGTTTCCTATGAGGTTGGAAGATGCAGTCACAGAATTTATAAATAAATAACTAAGCTAGCTATGAAAATTTTGCTAAGAAGTGAAATGTACTATCTGGCTTTTTTTTAAGTGGACATAGACAAAGAAAAGTTTGTTAAAATCTCAAGCATTGTTCTAGCATTCTTTTTGTGCTACTTAGAGAAAAACAATGATATGTACAGTGAGCTTAATTTTGATCAAATTAAAAGTAAGGAAAAACATGGCATGCTAATTCATTGTCATAATAATTGCATGTTTTCTAAGTAACAATTACCATTTGTGCCTTCTACAAATTAGAATTGATAAAAAAAATAAGATTTGCTTACTGAAATTCCAATGTATAAACCAAGGAACCACTTCACATTTCCAGAAAACCCACTAAGAGGCAATGATTTAATCAGAATGCATGTATTCTGAAAGCTCTCCAAAGCAATTTTAATGTTGATTTGTGCAAGAGGCATATCTGGAGACACATTTACCGAATGACATTTACCTATTTACAAGAAAATGACAAATAGCTTTATCATTGCCATCACCACTACTATCACCCAAGAGCAGCATTCAAATAGTTTTCTATAAAAATGATTGAAAGACAGTATGATACTTAAGGTCAGATCTTGATGTTCCTTTAGAAAAAGTCTAACAAATACATACAGAAAATTATATTCTTCATATTTAACTGGTATATGAGGATACACAGTCTGCTACAAGCAAATGGCAACTGTTTCGTAAAATATGGAAACTAGATTAAGCAAAGTTTGGCAGAAAAAGTTCTCTAGCAAAATGAAAAATATTTTCATACCAAAAAAGCCCTCTCAACTACCACATGTACTCATACATCTGTCAGAATTTAATTCAGGATTAAAAAATTGCTGCAATAAAATCATAACAATATTTCAGGCTTCTAGTTGTCCTTGAAAACAAGTTTATGTCATTTTCTATGGAGAAAGAACATACATATCTGTATTGAAAGCATATATACGGTTTTCTTATTGTCTTTGCTTTATATAGATACAGGTATTTATTTAATCTTTAGGTGAGATTACTTATATAGTCCAAAACTCCATGTAAGTTAGATTTGATTTGCAGAGATACAGAGTTTGCAGATGTGTGAAGGTTTGAATATACGTTTATTGCTTTAAGTTTACTACAGTCCTACGGGAGCAGACACTAATAGGAGGGATACCAAATATTCTCCATCTATGGTGTCATGGTTGTTAAATAACTCTTCCAAGTGTGACTTTACTCTATTTGTTATGCATTAATCTTTCAGTCAATATTTCAGACAGAAAACTTGAATAGCGAATTATACTATGTCGCTAAACTGAAACAACTCAGTTCATTAGAATATTTTAGTTTGATTCCACCTTTGAAATTATGATACACACATCTATTGCCATGAGTACTCTCAGGAAAGAGTAAGAATGAACAACTATAGTCTTCCTTTAAATCCCCATTCAAGTCCAGCCTCTGTTAAGAAGTACAAATCTTCTGACCCTCTATTGCATCATCCTGGGTCTTTAATTTAAATGTTGTAGCACTGACAACATGGAGCACGTACTCTATTTTCTAATTAAGAGGCTTGGTCAAAAATGTTCTCTTAATATAGCAGAATACTAATTTTGTAGGAAATTCTGTTATTACTTTTATGAAACACTGTAAAACAGGGCCTAACTGAACATAAAGGCAAAATACTTCATCTTATAGACCAGTTCCATCCCCAACCCCTCATACCTGTAATACAGATTAGGCGTTAGCAGATATGCCGTGACATAATGTGGTGATTAGGTGTTAGCAGATATGCCATGACATAAAGTGAATGTTGTGGTTTTGTCATGCTTACACTGAAAGACTAAAAAGGAAAAAAAGAAACACTAGGGTCTAAAAAAGAAAGAAAAGTGCATGAAGGACAATTTTAAACATGTTGTTTTTAAAGTGAAAGCCAGCGATGGGCTTGAAGTTGCGTAGAGAGAGAAATAAGACCCGTAACCATGCACTACAATTATAGCCCTTGAGATTTAGTCTTATGAAATTCAATGTTACCGAATATAAAATAATATGAAGATTCTTTCAAAAACTATTGTCATATACAGGAAATAACTGTCAAACAAGGTGTACATTAGCAAAATATTAGTCATGAGTAGTGGAAAACCAAGGAATGAGCATCATCACAGCACTATTTAATAGCATCACTGATTAATTTAGTATTTCAAAAATGTTCTTTCTGTGGAAGCAGCTGCTTCTCTTAGTTATCACACCTTTACTTACTCAACGATAATATAAAGTACCCTCAATGTTAGGCCTTAGCTTTTAACCAATAACTGGAAGCAACAGCTGTCAGTTCAGCTTCAGACTTACGGTCGTTGCAGAGCGGCCCACTGAAGGACGTCATGCTGCAGTCACAGCTGAAGCCGTCCCACTGCTGCAGGCACACGCCTTGGTTGGAACACGAGTCCTCCTGGCAGGTTGTGCTGGGCCCTGGGAAACAATCCAAAAGAAACTTGGGTTCTTTAAAAAAAAGCCAACAGTATTTTATACACAAGCTAGAGCACATACAGTAGTTGCCAACACCTCAAATTACATGTCCAAACTAGTTTTGAAAGTTCTAGATCACACACCTGAATGAGGAACTCAGAAGCTGTAACATCAAAGTTTTCTTAAGTTTCAAGTATGGAACAAAATACATTACAGTAATAAACCAAACCAACAAGGAGTGAAGGCAAGCACGCAGCTTCTAGTATCATCAGGGTAGCAGATAATCTCTTTCGGTCATCAATAATGCTTTGTTACCATTTGGACTTTAGAAAATGAATGGATCTCCTCCACTTCTGACCAATGAATAGAGACACCATGAGAATGGAGATTAAACTTGATGGAATCCAGATAGAGATTGGTAAAATAACTGAAGAGAGTTATGCAAAAAGGCCCTTGAGGTCTCAGAAAGTTCCCTGCACGAACTATGGATAAAGTCATGATTGCCGAGTGTTATTGGATAGGTATGTTGGCAAGTATCAATTCACATGCTTTATCAATTTCATGCAATTCAACATAAACATGAAAATGAAAAACTCCATATAAATGGCATGCCCCCATTTAACATACAAGTAAAAAGAATGCTAGTCTATTTCTAAAGAATCGTAACTATAACACTGAAAAACAAAGAACTTAAAAAAAAAAAAAGCAGGACCAAAGCACTAAAGGCAATCACTATACAGACATATTCAAGACTGAAAGCCTTTATGCAAACTATGCTGTCAAATAAGGTTTCTTGCACAATGTTCAAGAAAGGAAAAAAAAAAAGAAATCAGAACCCAAATTACAGTTACTGCAAACTGTGTTATTTTGGGGTTTCAACTGTGCGTCACGGGGTTTCAGTCTTGTTTGATACACATAGGGCTATCTACCTTGCAAGTCAGCTTTCATCAATGCAACTTTGTCAGCAAAATAAAAAAAAAAGCAAAATATAGTAAATGTTAGTAAGCAATACTGAAATGGGGCAAACACAGAAGAACGTTCAGATTCGAAAAGCATGCTGCTGTAACGGGGGAGAAATGCTATGTAGAGCGATCAAATTAATACTAACAGCCATAAATCTAAGAGAAGCCAAAAATGCGGAAGCGGTAATTTATTAGACTTTCACTGTACACATGTATATATATAAAATGGTTAATTGAGCCGATGACATGTAATGAAGGAAAATTAAAAGTGCTTTTGTGTTTTTCCTGTCTTAGATAGATAGGAATGCATTACCACAGCAACTGCACCACTTGTTTGGAACATGAAGTCCCATTTGTCATGTGCAAATACAGTGTAGACTATGGTCATTAGCAGACCAATTATCCCTTCTCTGTTTTCCCCTCTAGATGTTTTATCTTGCTGTTGCAATTAAGGCTATAGTTTTAAGCTATAATGCCAGCCCTTCACCACCACCAACTTGACTTGAGAGTGACATCCAACGATCAAAATATGCGCTGTGTGTCATTTGAAGCGGATGGATGTAGTAGTAGGGATGGAGGAAGCAAACTGCATTATAAATCCCCATTAGGAAAATTCCTTTATAAAAATGCAAAGTAGAGTGTTCATCCTTGCCCTTACCAGGCTGGGGACATATTGGTTGACAATTACCGAGTTAGGTCTGTATGTTCTGCCCTTTTATAATTACCTCCAACTCGTATAAATTGCCCTGTGGATAATTATGACAGAAAACCTCTCTAAGAGCTAGCTTAGAGAGGGTGAAAAGGGAACGCAGTCCACCTAAACTGCTCTAGAGTATTAATTAAAGGTATTTTAGTAAACACTATCTGATAGGTTTTATGAAAATATAAAACTTGACACTAGCCTAATTAGATGTTATTAGTCTAAAAGTGAGACCTGTTGAGGCACAGCTTTGGTGAATAAATCAAAATTATCTATAATTAGTCTGTGTATAAATTGATATTTTTGGAAAATGGATGTTAAACAAAGATTTTATATCACAAGGATTTTTTATTACAACTTTCTCAGTAAAGATATTCTTCACTGAAAAGGTATTGAATTTAGCCTAACATATGCGAATATTCACAAGTTTGTAATATTATAAATACTAGGTATATTACACTCTTAATAACAAGCAGTATAACTAAGAAAAACAATGATAATAGTTTTCAGAAGTAGCAGGTGTAATGACATTTTTCAACTCTTGTTTCAAAGAACTAACAACCACTGAATTGATCATTATTTATATTTTTTCCAACCTGTGACATTTAACCCATAGTGATACTCAAAATAATCAGTGTATTAAAAAAAAAAAATCTCCCAATGCACATTCCTTCCTGGAGTAAGCAAAGGAGCAGAGAGTGGTGCAAGCCTAGTGTGGATCACGTACTGTCTAACCGAATGGCCACCTGCTCCCTGACCTACACAGCAGGAGGGAAGGTAAAGTTTGGGAGAAAGAACTGATGAAGACCCAAATTTTTGTTTGTGTTTCTTCAGAAATTATCAGAAACACGATTGCTGAACAATGCCACTCAAAAAATAGTAACACTACAATCTTTAAAAGATAATCTGATCACTTTATAGAGCAGTAACTCAGGGTACCTGCCAAACCTCTATGTGGGCATAAAGACAGGCTTTATTTTTATTATTATTTTCATTATCATGACAGTCTTTTTCTATTCAGGCATTAAGAGAATGCATGTCTCTGCCTGACAAAACATGCTTTTCAAAATACTCACCTTCTAGAGCAATATTTAAACATTGACAGGCATTTGCCCAAGACAGAGCCCTGTATTTATTTTTTCCTTTAGTTATATAAATGTTCCTATTATTTTATCACTGAATAAAATTGGGAACAAGCCACAAGGACATTTGTGTTAGGAGAATAAAAATGAGGATATGTCTGAAAAGGAAAAGAAAATGAATGTAAAACTATAATTTCTGGAAAACAAAGAATACAGGAAAGCAGACAGATGCCTGGGTCTTAGACTGAGGCAAACTTGGATTCAAAGTTTACATCTTTTCACTTATTAGATATATGACCTTAGCAAGGTCACTTTGTGTCTCTGAGGCTCAATTTACTTATCTAAAAAAAGGGGGAGAGTAATATCTAATTTATAGATTTTTGAAGATTAAATGAAGTTAATTGATGTAAACTTATTACCACTGTTAGATGTCATCAGCAAGTAGAACTGTATATCAGACAAAGCAGTCTAGGGCTAAATGAAAATGTCAAAGACTTTATGTAGTGAACTTATCTTGACTTTGATAAGCCTTCTTATTAGTTACCAGTCTCTATTTTCTTTTATATAAGCAGGAAAATGCTAGCCAACATAATAATTGTCAAAGTATGGTCCCCAAACCAACAGTATTTGCCTTGTCTGGGAACTTGTTAGAAATGTGAATTACAGGGCCTCACCCCCGGCTTACTGAATTAGAAATCTTGAGAGTTATGTTCAGAAATTTGGGTTTGAAGAATAATCTAAATGATTCTAATCCAGGCCAACATTTTTCTTTTTCTTTTGAGACAGTCTCACTCTGTTGTCCTGGGCAGAGTGCCTTGTTGTCATAGCTCACAGCAACCTCAGATCAAACTCTTGGGCTCAAGGGATCCTCTTGCCTCAGCCTCCTGAGTAGTTGGGATGACAGGCACGTGTCACCATGCCCAGATAGTTATTTTTCTTTTCTTTTCTCTTTTTTTCAGTAGAGATAAGGCCTGGCTCTTGCTAAGGCTGGTCTCAAACTCCTTATCTTAAGCAATCTACCCACCTAAGCTTCTCAGAGTACTAGGATTACAGAATTGAGCCATTGCACTCAGCCTAGAGGCTAACGTTTGAGAAATGTTAATGTAAAGAGACTCTGATGGGGTAAAATCCCTTCTTAGGGGAGCTGTATTTTCTAAATAAAATCAATTATTATATACAAAATAAGTTAGAAATAAAAGCCTACAAGTGATTATTGAGGTTAAGATCAAAAGCTTTTGCAAGGGGCTTGAAGATCTGTAGACGTTATTGGGTAGGGATAATAAAAATCTTGACAAGATCATTGTTTGTCTGGACAAGTATTATTACATCATACTTACACTACATATTCCTATGAACAGGGACCATAAGTGATCCCAATGGGATTGGGACTCAAACTCCATTAGAAACAAAAGTCTTTGGAAAGGTAATTTATTTGGTATCTACAATTTAATCACTAATCCTAAAAACATGTCAGTCTCATTAATTATACCTAGGACAGGTATATCTAAGCTATTTCTAGGAACCTTACATGACAGAAATAATCATAAATGAAAAGTTGTTAACCTTGTTGTTGGAATGAAAGAATTGGGGAAGTAGCAGGCCAGAAAGTAATATTCTAATGTAAGAAAGTAAAAGAGGATAAAAATTACTAAAGCTCAGATATGGAACGCATTGCAGATAAAGTAAACAAACCAACGCTATGGTCTACTGAATAAGTTTAAATGTTCAAGCAGTAGTTTCAGGCTGTCCAAAAGGATATGCAATTAATCATCTTAACCAAACTGCTTTCTAGATTATGTTGAAAAATAATACCAAATATCATTACTGCAAATGTCTTTTGTTAGTACAATTTGATCCCATTAATCCTCTTTCTTCTACCCACTCACACCACATGCCTGTGGTAGGGGGACTGTGTTTATGCCTTGTTTTCCATTTAGTGAATAATTGGCTATAAATGTATTTGTCTGACACACCATTTGTTACTGGTGAGAAGTCACTTACCCGGCAACTTATAGAAAGGCTTATTTTTAAAAAGTATTTTCCAGAAGAGTTTATAGTACCTTTTTTGTTTGTTTGTTTGTTTTACAGATTTTTGGCCAGGACCAGGTTTGAACCTTTCACCTCCGGTATATGGGGCCAGCACCCTACTCCTTTGAGCCACAGGGGCTGTCCCCATTTTTTCTTTTAAAAAATAATAAATGTACATATTCTTTTTTTTTTTTTTTTTGAGACAGAGCCTCAAGCTGTCACCCTGGGTAGAGTGCCATAGCTTCACTGCTCACAGCAACCTCCAACTCCTGGGCTCAAGCGAGTCTCCTGCCTCAGCCTCCCAAGTAGCTGGGACCACAGGCGCCTGCCATAACACCCGGCTATTTTTTGGTTGCAGCCGTCATTGTTGTTTGGCGGGCCCGGGCTGGATTTGAACCTGCCACCTTAGGTGTATGTGGCTGGCGCCCCAGCTGCTTAAGCCACAGGTGCCAAGCCAAATGTACATATTCTTATGAGTTAGATCACCTCTAAGATCCAAAGGATCTTCCACATTCTTGTGTCTGTCTACTAGAAGGAATTTAATCATTTAACAATTATATTTCCTTTATTAAATTTGGCAAAAGGGAAAAGATAGTTTCCCTTGGTTTTAGAAAAGAGTTAGGCCTAAGTTTGAAATAGAGAAAATAAATATAGTGATAACATTAAAAAGGAATACACTCAAGCCTTCTATTAATAGCCTTATCCTCTGGCTTTATTAAAACCATTTACATTTCACCTAACTTTTCATGGAAACATATGCTTCAGAGAGGGAAAGAAACATTTTCAAATAGAAAATTCCACGTATGTAGGTAATTGCTAAATATAATGACATGATTTTTACCGAGAAAGAAATTTTTCATAATCAAAAGTTCACATTTCTTTCTTCCTCTTCCCCCAAACCAAATTTCCTTATGAATCTAAAATTTTCAAAATGGCCCAAACTGCATTCAATATTAAAGGAGAAGCAGCAACATATTCAGAGCCACAAAATTCCTGATAATGTGATTAAATTACATTTATGGAGGGAGAATTGGTTCAAGTAATCTGAAGGGTTGAAGTGAAAATTATCTAAAATGAAAGTAGCAATCAAAAAGTACTCCCACAGATCTTGGTCTGATAGAGAGCATGAAAGAACAGAGGGTGCGTTAGTGCATTTTTGATGTATGAAATATTAGCCTTGGGTAATAAAAGAGACCTGTTTTTGCTAAAACAAACTGATAAAGTAAGTGAAACACCCTTTCTTCCAGGTACATAAAAATCAAACAGTGATAGGAAAAGGGGTATCTGAATTTTCTTCCCTTATTATATCCTACTGAATGCAGATTTTAAATACAGGGCTCAAGTTGATTAATACTCGCGGAAGTAGGCATATTTTTCTAATCTAAATGGGATATCCAATTAACGTTATAAAGCAAGCATTGCAGAACTGATTTATAAACTAATTAGGTGAACTATAGAATGCAAAGAAGCAGAAAATAACAAGATCCATAGATACAGCTCCCACTTTATAACACACTGGGCATTAGTGTAGGCTAGCAAACAGTGCAGAAAATTTAAGATTTATGAGATAAAATGTTTAAAACGTGAGTAAGGATTTCTAAGCCCTAAGTGAAAGTTCAACAAGTTATCAGAATTTCGCTGGCAGGTGAGCTTTGTTCTCATTTATAAGCAGACTTCAAATGACTTAGCACGTAATGACCAAGATCTAGTACCTTCACATCCTCTCTCGATCTGTCCATTGCAGAAAAGAGCATCTGAGATGAGGTCCGGAAGCCGTCCATTTAAATCAACGGATGCCAGGCAGCCTTGGAAACCTTCCTTCGCGTGAACGAGTTTTGGCAAGGATTTGTACGTTTCCTTAGCCACTCCTCCAATGTACAAGTCACCTGTAGGAAGTTCAGAGTCTCTGTCACAAAAGGAACCCATCATTGACTTCAACACACAGTTGGATAGAGAAAAAAATCATGAGGTTTACTTTTCATTAAATAATAAATAAGTAAATCCATAACTAGCTATCTTCCTAAAAGGGGAAAACAATAGAAGGATTTGAATTATATGTGAGCACTACAGGAAATTTCTAGAAGCTATTTTTATAGAGAACTAAGGGAATCTGAGACGGTTTGGCCAAGTGGAAAGAACACGGGCCGTGGAGATGCACACCCCTGAGCTACCATCCAGGCTGGCTACTTACCCACTCTTCGGTTCTGAACATTTCTTTCCCTAGTTTCTCTAAGTATTAATATTCTCATTTCTCAATAGGAACATTAAAACCCATCCAATACAATTGCTATGAGGATTAAATGAGATGCACTATAGGAAACACTTATCAGAGTGAAATATGTAGTGGAAATCAACAGGCATTCATATTCAACTTCTTCCTAGATAACTCCGGGTTTTCAGTAACCAGTTCCCTGAGTTCTCTCCAGTGTCTAAAGTCACCTTTTGTGCCACTCTTGAGTCCATGATCCCTGTTTGCATCTGCCTTCACTAATTCACTCCCATAATAGTCTGTAAATAACTTAATATTACATCCTTCTTCAGTTTTTTCCCCTTTGTTAAAATTACACCTTACATTGCTTTCAATTTTTATGCAGCTCTGGGGTGGCTAATTTATTTTTGCAACTTTATTGCGAGTTCTAATGGAACGCGTTTCTCCACTTTGTCATCTTCAGGTCTCTATAATTAGGATTCACCGACTTTATGGGCCACAGCTTCACAAAAGAGATTACAATCCATGCTTGATTCTGTCTTTTCCTATTGAAGACAACTCACTGTACCTGGATGGCATTCAGTAAGTACAGTAAATTGACTCTACTAAACAATGCCGAACATGAGGAGGATGATCTCAAAATTCTGTAATACAATGTTCCTGTCTACCGATTCTGGTGACATATTCTTTTTTAGCTACTTCTCCAACATTTCATTGTCATTTGAAGTCTCTTCAAAAGAAATATTTGATGTTAAGCACTTCTATCCAACTACTATAAAAGTCAGTCAGCATGTTTTTCCCAGGGAATAACAAAACCCCTGTATTAATAATGTTCTCCTGGGCCCCTCGTGTCATCTTCATGAAACTTGGTAGCAAGGAGAACCAATGCATGTACTATCTGTTGAGCCATAAACTGCAGAGCCCTTGATTTCTGACCCAGAGATCTTGTGTCTTCTGCAGGCATCCATGAAAAAGTAATAGGTTAACTATCAGCTGACGTGCAGGGTAAAATCAAACCACATACCTGACACTTTTGAATTGCAATGATGACTAAACTAAAACAGAGAGACCATGTGACTTGTTCAACGTCATCTAGCTTTAAAAACTGAAACCTTAGGACCCTTGACCTACTGACTAAAGCTCGAATACCACTGATCCTTTATAATTTGTACTGAAAGTACTAAATGTGTTTGCTTCCCCTACCTCTTAAATAAAATAAAACATAGTCATTGGTGAATGCCAAATAGAGGGCATACATTTCTAATTTATGGGCTGAGCCCTGGTGGGTGTTAAAACCTCAGGTAGATTTATAGAAGTAATGCAGATCTGTGTGTTTCCTTGGGAGAACCCAGAGGCACCAAGACAATCCTAGAGCATAATAAATGGTTGCATGGTAGATTTAGGCCTTCTCAGAGCTTAGACAGGCTCATAGAACTCTTCACACCCCACTATGCTATAGGAATAATAGAGCAATTTCCAGAGTGGCACAGAAACAGCAGAAAATCACACATTCAAGAATGAAGATGTTGGGTAGCAATACAGTGGGCACCTGAATAGTGACTGTAAAATATTTAAAAACAGATTCCATGCTACGTTCCTCTAACTCCCCAACAATCTGGTACCATAGAACTATCCACACCCAATAATAACCTCAGAAAAGAAGAATGAGAATGTATTTTCATTAACTCAAAGAATCAAAGTCCAAAATAAAAGCTAAGGTATAGAAAAATAAAAACAAAAAAGATACCTTTCTTGTATATTGGTGAGTGTGGGCTGAGAGTTATACTTTTACATGTCAAATAAAATGCAAAGCAAGGAAATGCTCCTTTCATGTATTTGTTGAACTAAATTTGTTAGAAAATTTCAGTTCTCCTCCAAGCCTAATGAATGCAGTATTAGAGAACACTGGGGCATTGAATGAAGAATTCTTGACACTACTTTAGGCCTTTCAGATGTGGAACTTAGTACTGAAACTTACATATGACATGCTATCTATTTAACAATCAATCTTCCTCTGTCTGATTTTAACCTCTTGCAGGAGAAAGACTATGTTTTAATTTGTTTTAGATTATCTCATAGTGCCTAAAACGGCTCTAAGTGCAATGGGCCCTCAATAAACATTGTCAGCCACCTGATGGACTGAGGTCATAGTAGAAAAGAATCAAGAAAAAAAGAATGGTAAGACAACCCATGGGGGGAGAGCTAATTCTCAAACGTGCTTACTTCCTCTCCCCACTTCCTACCACAATTCCTATGTTTTCCCATTAGCAAACTTACTTGCCTGCCAACATTTTAGAACTTATTGAAGAGAAGTAGTAATCACCCCTCTGTGTTACTAAACAGCAGAAAGTATCAATTGAAGCAGCACAGGATATAAGTTTCAAGGATATCTAAGTAGGTGAGTTTGGCTTTATTAAGAAGGGGGCTTCTTCCGACTTTCATTACTGAAGCTGCATTCACAGAACCACTTAGCGCTGCTTTTATAAACTCTTCATACAGCAGAGAGTGGTCTCAAGTCCCTCGGTGGGCTTCCACGAGAACAAACAAAGGAAGCCCTTAAGTGGTCAAAGCCCTGTGTACCATTACCATTTCGTGAAAGATATAGCTTCCGTTTTTTCATCCCTTGAGTGATGGAAAGAAAACGACCTGTTAGCACTAATGGGTCCTTGTAGGGAACATCTGCATGGGAAGGAGGAGACACTTATTGTTGGCCCTATGTACGAACAAGAGCCAGGAAGGATATCTGGTAGGAGTCAAGTGTCCCACAGACTTGAATGTGAATGTGGTCAAGTTACCCTTTTTTCAAGCCAAATGGCTGGTTTTTATTCATACGCTTTAAGTGGGTCACATATGTAACTGAATGGCAATGTTGGAGTTGGGGAATTTTCAGCAAAAGATGCAGAGAACAGGTATAAAGTCAAATAACATCAAATATTTGGGAGATGAGCTTCTTATCTGCAGCGCTAAGTATCTATCCACACTATGCTCCTCCCAAGAGTGCTGTCTGCACAGGATCTGAAGTGACATCACCAGTACCCATTTCCTGGTAGTTGGGCAGAGATGTCCAAGAAATAATGCACGGCTGTTTTAGTTGTATCTGAACACAAACTCTGGCTCTGCTACTTACTGGTTGTCTCAGTAGAGAAAAGTTAAATTACATAACTTCTTTAAGAGTCAGATTCTTCCTCTGTGAAATGGGGTGAACAATACCTACCAGATGAGGATTGTAAAGAATGTACATAAAATATTTATAAAGCATTTACTCAGCACATGACTGAAAACAGTGACCGTGTGGGCACGTCTGGTAGTGTGCCCCATTCTGTGTTGACTGCGCTGAGAAATACACAAAGAACGAGAAGTAGAGTCTGTCCCCTGCTTCTAGTACAATTGTAGTGGCAAGATGTCAAAATTACAAGTCATTCATGACATTTATTTTATTTGATTTAATTTACAGTCACATGTGCTTGAAGTGTGTCATACCATACGCAGCTCAAGGGGCTCCACTGGCTCAGTTTGAAACCTAACAACATTAAATCTGGTAACAGATGAGAAAGTTGCTTCATAATTATCTTCTAATTTGATATGATACAAACAGATCAAGAAACAAACAAAAAAAATTCTGTGAAGCCCAAGGGCCACATTGTCAGGTTTGGGATAAATTAGCCTAGAAAATCAGAGACATGTAAAGTTTCTGGTGGACTTTTACTGTAAAATAAGCATTATGGGAGACTTGTGACTAAAAGAAAATACAGAAGACATTAATTTATAAAGACATAAATATAGGTGCCAGACATGGAAAATGGCGCCGATATACCATGGAGACAAAATGAATATGGCATTCAAGCAAGAGAATAAAAGGCCAGATTGAATAAAAAAAAGACAATGAGGAGTCCATGGATAGAAACCAGGCAGGCTGGGACACTAGGGAGTTGGAAGCAGTAATAATTTGAAGGAGAAGTGAAATTCCATTTAACATTAAATGTGTGGAATTTGAGTAGGAGTGTCCTATAGGAATCTGATGACATGAACCTGGAGCTGAGGGGACAGAGGTGGGGGTGGTTTGAGACATGGCTTGGGAGCTATCAACCAAAAGCAGATAAAGAAAGCAGTGGTGGAGGTTTTCTCTGTAAGGCAATTAGAGCGAAGGCTGCAAGCTCTGCCTTAACAGCAGCAGAAGGCAAGTGTCAAGGTATAATTTGTTCTTTGACTCAGCTTTCCTGTTTATTTGTACATACTTTTTTGTGCCACTTAAACATCTCACTTTCATTTTAATTAACAAAGCATACATAAAAAGGACAATGGTTTTGTAGACTTGGCTAGCTAAAAACTCTAGGGAATCTTAGGGAGGCTCCAGCAAACTCCCATAAGTGGCACTTGGAGGAAAAAAAAGTGGAAATCATTAAATTGTGAACCTCTTTTCTGATAATTACCTTTCCTTGTTCTTTGAGTGTGTATGTCCCCACTTGTTTATAAATTCTTTGAAGAAATGACCATAAGCACTTTTCTAGCATTGTTTCACTTAGCAGGCACTCAATAATTATTTGTTAGCTCACTGAGTGAATGGCTGAATTAGTAGCACATTCAGTAAATAATTACTTGAACAGTAAGAACACAGTGAAGGTTTTATGCACAAGGCACTCATATTTGTTTCTGGTTCTTTGTACATGCAATGTAAGA